CTATAAGTACTTATGCTTCCAGAATTGACAGTGTAAAAGTAAGGAAGATTGTTTTGGAAAACTCAAGATTTTGGAAATTTTTAACTTATTGTTGCGCTTGTGTCTCTCCACTTTTGAAAGTAGTTAGACTTGTGGATGATGATTTGAAGCCATCTATGGGGAACATCTATGAAGCCATGGATAGAGCAAATGAGCAAATAGCTAAAAATTTTCAATAAGTGGAAAGTAGACATAAAAAGGTGTGGGAAGTCATAGACCAATGCTTGGAATATCTACTCCATAGGCTCTTTAGGCATCTGGATACTATATTAATTTTAGGTTATATTTTCAATGATAAGAGCTTAACCTTTGTTTTTATTCCTTTATAATATATTAATGATTAATGCTTATTAAAATTTATGTAACTTTATAAGTTCGATTATGAAACAAGTTTCAATGCGAATCCTGAGGTGATGACTGATTTATATAATGCAATGGATAAATTGGCTCCAGATATTGAGACAAGGGTAAAAATCATTGCCCAACTTGATAAGTTTCATAAGGCAAAGAGAATATTTGTATATGACTTGTTAATGGCAACTAGAGTTAAGCAGCTTGGTATACTTTCTTATAATGGCTACACTCTTCGTTTTTCTTGTATTTATCTTATGTTGTGTGTTTGCTAGCATAAAAAGTATCTTATTTGTTTTAATCTTTCTTTTGTTAGCCATGTGGTGGAGTGGTTTTGAAGAAGAATGTTGCAAACTTTTGCTATACGTGTTCTAAGTCTTGTAGTGCTATTGGGTGTGACAGGAATTTGAGTGTTTTTGAATATATTCAATCTAAGAAGAGAAACCGGTTAAAGCAACAAAGATTGGATGCTTTTGTATTTGTTGATCACAATCTTAACCTTCAGTCAAGTTAAAAGATAAGAAAGGACACATATGATCCAATTTGCCTTTCCAATACGGAATTCGATGATGAATGGACCACAGAAAAAGAGGAGGTTTGCCTAATGGATTTGAAGCAGGAAGTAGATAACTCTAGGATGGGCGTCCAAGGGTGCTTTAATATTGATGAATGAGCATCAAGTAAAAAGAGAGAGAGATATGTTATGTAAACAACTATTAACTTTCAGTTACAAAAACTCCTCTTTCTACCTTACATCCAATGATCCAAATTCTTAAATCCTATTCTTATATTTAGGACCAAGAACCTTGATGCTGTTGGGCAAAAAGGACAAAGGAGAAAAACTAGTACAAGTTGCTTCTGATGTTGGAGATGATGGTGGTGGTAAAAATGAAGATGAAGAGGATCTCATTGGTTATGGTTGATGATGACACGCAAATTGATGATATTGGCCTTGAAAGGGAGGAGAATGAAGTTATATAGATTATTTAGTAATTAGTATTTAGATTAGAATCTTTTTTGCATCAATATGACATGGTTTATATATGACCTACTTTGATGTTTTGGTATTTTGGTACTTTTGAAAGTATTTTGTTCATGTTTTAAATGTGTAATTATGAATGTTTAAGTATTTTGTTAGTGTGTTTTAAATCGTATGATACGATTCATGATTCAAAAATGCAAGAATAATTCTCAATGCAATTCAGGATTTTACAACATTGGTCCCATGTATTGGGGCAAAAGGCTTAGTTGAGTTGAGTCTATATGTTAAGTCAGTCTGCCAGCTTTTAGGTTGCATGAATTCTAGTTTGGTGAGACTCTTGAGCTTTGATCTATGCAGTCTCAAGCCGAGCCTTGATCTATATGTTCCCAAGGGAAGCCTGAACTAGTTACAAAGGGGGAGCCTTGATCTATACATTCTCAAGCCAAGCCTAACTACTTATAAAGGGATCTGTTCATTACAGTCCTAAGCAAGTGTTGCTGAAGTCTTTCACATATCATGACCCACACAAAGTAAACCAATAATGGATCAATTATGATTCTGTGGGATCTTATGTTCTTACTTGTGATTATAACAATCCTTCGCAGTTTGGATTGATTTAATGAAAATTGATCCTACCAAACAGACTTTGATTTGATGACAATGGTTTTGAGATTCTTTAAAGAGGCTTGGGATAAATATTGTTTCATCTAATCATAGACTTGTGGGCATAGCCAGCTTCATTATCCTTGTTTCTAAGCCTGAATCCTTTACCTTATTTTTAGTGAAATACTAGGATTTAAACATGCTAGACTGTCTCTCACTGATATTCTGTTTTGACATTCTTTTCTGAGTATACTTGGCAAACTGTCTTATGGATTTCTGGGGCATCCATCCCTATTATTTTAGGATTTTTTAGTTGTGGTTGATAGTCAATTGTCATTTCCCATTAGTTTAGTTTTGTCAGGAGGTTTGAAAGTTGAGAACATGTGATCATATGATCTGGAATTGTTAGCTAAATAAAGCAAAATGTGTTGGAAAGGATTCAACTTAACGAATGCTATGAATCCTCGGAGATTCTCATGAAATTTATGTGCACAAGATATTGTGGAGCTGTCATTTCAATGGCATGAAAATCCTTGTTTCATTAAAATTGTTCAAACAGGTACCAGGAGCAATTTGTAGCAGGTTCCTCGAGTTGTTCATTTTGCTTTTCTTCATTTTCTTCTAAAGCATTTTGATTTTCTTTGTTTGGCCCTTTGCCCCCTGCTTTTAGGCTGCTGTTTTTGGGTTTCTGCTGCTGTGGTTTTGGATTTTGACTTTTGTTAATGTACTTTGTATTTCATTCTCTTATTTTTATTTATTTATTTTTTTGGGGGATGTCTTCCAGCAGCTATTCTCTTTTCCACTTATCATAATAATTGGTTACTAGTTTCAAGAGTTGATTCTATTTGTTATGCAGTATTATGTTGAACCAGTGTCTGGGAGCCGATTCAGGTCAAAAAATGAGGTGGAATACTTTCTTCAGACTGGGAGCAAGCGGAAGAAGAAACCAAGCTCTGATGCAGATTCAAATGCTGTGAGCCAAATAATATTTGCTTGGATTTGTTGTGAACACTACTTTAAATTGTTACCATCTCTCAACAACCCATTGCTTATATCTACTTGAAACCATGGGGGAAATGCTGGTTTTGCAGTCTGGGGAGAGCCCCGGAGGACGCAGGCAAAAGAAGTCAGCCTCAAAAAGTAAGAGTACTCCTTCCTTGAACTTTGATTTCAACAACGTGGCAGAGAAGGTGCATTGGGTGCTGACTGACGCGACTAGGGATGAATGGACACCTTTTGTTGATGAAAAAATGGTGACGAAATCCACCAGGCAAGACTGGAATGCTGCTTTCCAGCTATCATGCACCTAGAAACATTGCTAGGACTGTTGTTCATGTTGTATGTTACAGGGATGTTTGTTTTAATTTTTGTTTCCGGGCACAAGCCCATGTCAACCTCCGGTTCTTACATTGACTTCAATACCTACTTCGTACTGATATGCACCTCAGAAAGCCTCATTTAAGAAAAAAGGATGAAGGAAAATTGAAACGATAGAAGTTTAGGAACAGTCTGAACTTGTGCTTCTCTTCCTCCTCTTCTTTAATGGGTGCTTAAATTGGGGAAGTAAAAGCAAAAATCAAGCCCTTTTTTTTTTTAAGCGTACGATGATTTCTTTGCTTTTCTGAACCTTTTTGTGTATGGAAAATAAAAGCTAATTAAAAATAAATATATAAAAAAACCCTTGAAAGTACCCATATTCTAGAGAAATCTAGGTTTTAAGATTTTTGCGGGAGCTTTGTGCTTTTCCACTGTTGAACCTAAGAGATTTAACATTTTAAAACCTGATGTATCATGCAACATTAACTTATCTTTAGTATTCATAAAACTGATGGATAATTTATTTTTAGAGAAACAGACCTTTAGAATTTTTCCAAACTATATATTTATTTTTAAAAAAATCATAGCACTAGTTTATCAATTTGGTAAAAGGGAAACCATATTCTTATAAAGTAGAACTTAAAGAAATTATTATGATCTTGAATATCTTAATTATTGTGGTTAATTTTTTTTGAGTGAATTAGATATTTATTATTCGTTATCTATTTTTAATAAAATATAATTAAATAATAAAATATATTTCCCCAAGTTTGTTTTGTTTAAACTTATTTTTTTTTGTATAAATTTACCTTTTTTCTAAATTTATTCTTAAAAATGATAAATAGCTAAGCTGATGCACCAAAAAATTGACTAATAATTATGGTTTATTTTGATGAATATATATTCTTATAATTCTAAACTGTATTTTAAATTGAAATCTTCAACCTTTTGTTTTCTTTATAAGCATTTTTATTTATTTTATGGCACGAGATTAATTTTTTCTTGTATTATGGCTGCCCCTCTCTAAAAAAATATTTTTATAAAAAGTTTTGAATTTAAGAAAAAAAGTTGATTTTTTTGAAAATACATAATTTTATTTAAAATATTAGAATTTTATAATAAAAATTAGTTTTTGTCATTAAAAATTACTAAATTAATACTTCTAATTTTCAGATTTTTTAAAAATATTTGTAACGAGAAACTATTTTTTTTTTTAGTTTTTAGATTTTTAAGTCCTTTCAACAGCTCCACAATTAGGAGGACAAATATTGAAGTTGACTGTCGTAAACTAAAACATCATAATGCCTCCAACGTAGCAAGTTCTTTATATACCGTCCACGCATAAAAGGGCAAACTAGGTTTGGCCTTAGTTGTAATCCACGCCGTCCGTTTTCTCCGTCTGATGTTGGTGGCAAAGCCAAAAGCAGAGACGCTGACATTGGCAAAGCTAAAGCGCCAAAATTGAGAAAAATGTCCCTCAAACCCCGTCAGAGCCCCCGTCACCTCTCCTAAAGGCAACCGAAAGTCGGAGCAAAAGCTGGAGAGAGAATCAACCAAGCAGCTTAGATTGGGACACTTCAGGAATGTCCCTCCGATTCTAGCCTTCTTCAGATGTCCTTGCAGATAAATACAGATACGCGCCTATATGTAATGTATTTAATTGTACATGGGCACACGCATGGATCTGTGCAGATAGAGGTGGAGGGAGATGGGCGAGATGTCGAGGGAGGCAAAGATTTCAATCGTGGCATCGTCGACGTTTCCAGGGTTTCGGTTCTCGCCGACCGACGAAGAGTTGGTATCGTACTACCTCAAGAAGAAGCTTGAAGGCGCTGACAAGTGTGTCGAAGTGATTTCGGAGGTTGAGATTTGTAAATACGAGCCCTGGGACTTGCCAGGTTGGACAAAGATTTCCTCGTTTGTGCATGCGTCAGTTTCTGTGCGCGCGAATTTTTGTTCTATCGCTTTTATTTATTCTACTTCGTTGTTTCGTGGATTAAATTGCGCTATTTGCTTTATGTTTGATCTTATGCGTGGGAATTTCTGAGTGATTGATCTAAGCTATTTGTTATTTTGCTAGTGAGCTCTGGAATTTTTGAATAATGAAGGCGCAACTTTGAGTGAGAGTGTTGCCAACTGAGTGGTCAACTTTTCTCATCCAATTTTTTTCTTTTTTTAATTTCGGTTTATTTTAGCTTAAAAAAGAATATTCTTCAAAGAAAACTTGGAAGATTGATTTTTTTAGGTTGACCTTCAACATTGACTGCACAGCCTACCTAACAAGTTCTGGTAAAGGCTCTTTAATTTTTTAAATTTATTATTATTTTTTTCTTAATCTCTTGCTTTATTGAGGCAGAAAAAAATCAAGCTAATTTATAGTTTTCTCAAATGATTTCTTTCCTACTATTAGAGAACTGCTTTTTGATTTGATAATAAAACAAAGACAAGTACCATGGTGGCCACCAAGCTGAAGCTTTCAATGAGCAGGTGTGCCAAGAGGGTATTTGGAAAACAACTTCTAAATCTATTTCAACTAAGCCGTATTCTTTCCGGGCGAATTGGAAAAAAGAAAAAGAAAGGAACTTGTCAGTGAATTTCAAACTTAGCCTTGCTCTTCCCCTGTAATCTAACCAACGTTGACTTTTATCTTCTTGAGCCTTTTCCTATTTCAGGCGAGTAATTATATTGTCAGGAATCCGCCCCAAATGTTGCTTGAATCAATCTGTACTTCTGAATACTTAACGTTGTCATTTTCTTGGTGTAAAGTGCCACTGCATGTCTTCTATAAAGTTCAAACGCTTTACTGTGGAGGTTAATATCTAATTTTCATCTATTGCCAGCCAAATCAATCTTTCAATCAGATAATGAGTGGTTTTTCTTTTCTCCCCGTGGGAGGAAGTATCCAAATGGCTCACAAAGTAAGAGGGCAACTGAATCTGGCTATTGGAAGGCCACTGGGAAAGAAAGAAATGTAAAATCAGGTTCTCTTCTCATCGGCACAAAAAGGACTCTGGTTTTTCACACAGGCCGTGCACCAAAAGGAGAGAGGACAGAGTGGATAATGCACGAATACTGTATGCATGGAAAAACTCAGGTGATTAGTATCATACTCTTCATTATATTCTTGTAGATGTTTATGACTTGTGTGTTATGATATTTGAGAAAAGCTTGTTATGTGAATGCCTGCTCCTGGAACTGTTTTGTTGGTGAGTACAGACTCTAGCTACTATTGGGAACTAGAGAGACAAAAGGTGTTAGTTGAGTAAAGTTTTCTCATTGTTTTTTTTCCCTCTTTCTTTCTTTCTTTCTTTCCTTTTTTTTTTTCCTTGAAACCATGTGTAGCGTTGCATTGCAATTTGGGTCTCTGCACTCCTTGATGGATACATTGGAAAGCAGTCTGTCCAATTTTTTGTTTTATTATATGGTATCCAATAATTGGAATAAGAATTCAAGATTTCCATACAAATTTGTGCTCACAAACATAGGGCTTGTTTGGCTTGCAAAAATGTTTTCTATTTTCATTTTCTATTTTTATTCTCTAAAAATGATTTTCATTTTTAAAATTTTAAATTCTAGAAAATGTGCTCAGTTTGGTTTGTTTTTTCTATTTTCAAAAAATGAAAATAAAGGAAATATGTTTGGTTTACCTATTTTCAATAAATTGGAAATGAGGACTGAATTGAATAAATTTAGAGTTTTAGGATTTTTTGTAGGTATTTAAGTGAATAAATAGAAGTTTTGGAGATTGAATAGAAGTTTGAAAAATTAAGGGACCAAGTTGAATAACGTCTAAGACATTGAAGGACCAAAGTACAAAATATTTTACACTGTTCATCTTATCTTCTGAAACCCTAGTTGCGGTCATCTTCTCCCCTGAAACCCTAGCCTGAGGAACCAGATTGCCGTGGTTGGCGGCAGCAGTGCCAATGCCAGAGTTTTGGAGAATGAAAGGGTGGTTAAGCAATTGTCCAGCGCTCCACCTCCTTGCCGGATCCCTCTGCAAACAACAGGCGATGAAGTCCCTGAACTCTCATGATGCCATTGGTGGCGTCTCTAGCGGCTTCGACATGCAGATGGCACACGTCAAGCTCACCCAATCCCCCTCTCTCTCCACAGCAGAAGGAAATCTTCCCAAATAGAACTCCAAATTGCTCGCTCCCAAGCTCCAAATATCTCTAGTGTACCATCATACATCCCTTGATTAAAATCCATGCTTATCCTCCCTGGCTCTGAATTGATCCATTGTGAGGGAAGGATCGTGAAGGTGGATAGGGGTGCCTTCAAGGAGGATCCACCATCCATGTATTTGAGGAGGACCTGGATCTCACCAGCATGGTCGAAGGACAGGGAAGAATAGTAGCAAGAGGAGAAGCAAAACAGAAAAAAACACTGAAAATTGGTTTAATTACAAGTTTGCTACTGCATTTTCAATTATTGTTTTTAGTTTTCAACTTATTTTAGAAAACATTTTCTGAAAATGAATATAAAAAGTGACCTGCCAAACATGTTTTATTCACCATTTTCTGTTTTCACTGAAAATGAAAACAGAAAATGGCAAAACCAAACAGGGGCATAGATTTTCATTGTTTGTCTTTTCTTTTTCCCAGAAAAGGGTAAAACATGGGACTTCAAAAAATTACATAAGTGGATCACGAAAAAAATGGTCTCCTTGTACAGGAAAAGAGATCAAACTGCAGTTCGATCTTTTTAGATTGCTTCTTCTTTGTGAGAGGCACACAAGCATGCATACCTGTGATTCCCTAGTACATGAAAGGAAAGAAGTTCATGTTTACAGTGGAAATTAAAGAGATGCTACTCAATAGAAGCGGTTTATGTACTTGTTTACTTTTTTCCCCCTTCTTAACAACCTCTTTGATCCGAAGAGTTTAGTGGCAGCCTTGGAACATGAAGTCTAATTGAGTGATAGTTCCTTGAATTAATTTATTTACCTAGGTCGAAAGGGATGGTTAGTGGTGGCTCACATGCTGCTTGGGTGTGATTTTAGTGTGCAAAAGTTTAAGCATCATCCTGTTACCTCTCTCTCTCTCTCTCTCTCTCTCTCTCTCCCACACACACACACACACACACACACATGCGTGCGCGCACACGCACAATCTTGTGAGGTTGGAATGATGGCCATAGCTTGATGAATTTAACTTCCAATCTTTCCAGTCACATAATTGCAGTCACTCTGCTTGAGAAGCTTCAAGATAGCCAGGAAGCCTTGTTTTAGTAGAGATTAAAACGAGTGCTTGAAGCTTTGATTATGTTAGCCATCATTTCCTTGAGTGGGCTATCCTCTGACCTTACTGGCTAATTGGCTCCAATAGGTTGCCTCAACACTTAGGCCTGTGCATTTTGTTCTTGGTGGTCCAGCCCTTTGCATGTTGATATGCAGCTTGAGGATGACAGAAGCTAAGGAGCATGGAGACAAACAGAATCTTGAAAAAGGACACAAGCACAGCACGTATATAAAAAATAATATATTTTATATTTCTGTTTGCTAGTTAGGGGGCACATACATTGTAGTGCTTATGTTTTGGGAAACTTAACTTTAATTCTTGGTTGTTAGAAAGTATTCCATGTAATAATGACCTTTTGAAATAAGGCAGTTATAGGCAACATAGAAAACATGTATTTGTTACTTAGATCACAAATTAAATTGAAAATGTCACTCAAATGAACCAAAGGGTGGAATAATCTGGCATTTACCATATAAACTTGGTAACTAAGATGGAATAGCTTGCCCTAATGGTTAACAGAAGTGATAAATCTCTTTAAAAAAATTTCAGGCAATATATGAGGAATTGTAGAATCATTTAATCTGTGATTATGTAAGCAGCAGTTTAAACTCTTGCTAAAGGTAAGAAAAATTGTTGTAGAGGTAAAAGGATATAATAGAGAATTTGTAATAGTAAAGCAAAATAAATTGATATCCATTTGCAAAAGGTCTGCAAATTTGAGAGTGTAGCTTGAGGATTTTTTACCACATATGAGCATATAAATTTTCATGAGATTTTAATATTGAGAATTTGTTCAACAAATTAGCTAATAGCAATGTAGTTTCACGAAGGTGTTTGACTCTTTGTGAATGCTACAATTTTACTTTTTAAATAATCTTAATCCATAATTTTTTCAAATGCAAACATTAATCCTTGTGTTATTATTGTTATCTTTTAATCCATTTTTCCCTTGAAATGCACATATTATAAGGTTACAATTTTTCTGCATGGACTCAATACCTTTTTGCTTCTATCATAATTGTTATCTTTTAAAGAAAATCTCTGTTCTTTTAGGCCATGACTGTTATTTCGCTACCTGTAGTGTGAATATGGATGGGAGTGGAATTGAAATTCTTAATTCTTTATATGTAATTATTTGTGCAATATCTGTTATGATTTATTTTTCTTTTCCTATTCTCTTTTCATTTTCCTTTTTGGTCTTCCTGAAATAATTCCCTGGGACCTTGATTGGCACCTTAAAAGGCTTCCATTCATTTTCTAAATGAACTAGATATCCTTTTGGTCCAACATTTTTAATGCATGTCCATAGATAAAACTTTGTTGGAACATGTGATTATATTTATACTCGTGTTTTCATATTTCCATTTTTTTTATTTTACTACATATGACTGGTTTTTTCACATCCATTCCCCCAAGGAGTGGTGCATTATCATGACCTGCTAAACAATTCACGTATAAAGATCTCAATATTCATAATTTCATACCATCTGCCCATCAAACAATATAACCAACAGCTAGTTCCAATGATTTAAATACATACTTTACTTGCCCTTTTCTAAGTCTATACATGAGAATAAACCAAAATATTTGATACAAGCCCTCACACATGGAGACGAATAAAATGCTTCCTGGTTCTAACTTGACCATATAACTCCATGAACAGAACTGGGCTTCACAAGTGTCCAAAACCTGAGATGATAATAAGTGGTGAGTCTACTGACCTAGAGCCAGTGAATGGAAAATACTGAAACAATAGAAATTCAATATATATCAAAAGTATCAATTTCTTCAAATTAAATGATAAATCATGCTATTAAACATCTTTTTTCTCACAATAGATCAACATAATGTCTTACTAATCATAATATGTCATAAGCATAACACGCAACCTAATCTTAGTCAACTTCTCATAAATCAAACATATATAAATATATATGCTTTCCTGTCAACCCACCAATTATGTGCTTTAGGTACCTTTAAAATTAATGATAGATCTGCTTTTTTATATATATCCACATCTCAAGAGCTAATAGGTTTAGTATACTGTGCATGCAATCTGGCCATTCCTGGTACTAAAATTATCTGAGCATGCAAATTAACCATCCTTGGTAGTACTGTGAAAATTGGGTGTGCGAACTGACCATCCCAATGATGTATACAAAAGGTGTTATATCTGAATCATTACATACATGCAATTTAATTTCCATTCTCATGTCACATAATATGAAAATTAAGCATGTATTTTGAAATATTATCATAAACTCTCAGATCCTTTCATTACTAGCTGGTTTAAATTATTAGTAAACCAACATCAGAATAGAGTTTTTCTTTAGATTGTTCCATTATTATCCACTCACCTGAAGCAAGGCCTATTTGGCCATAGAGGTTTAAGGGTCTGACTCCTATCCTACTTCTTCACCTAAAACACAACACAAGGAGCAACAACTAATCTTAACACATGGCTTGGATGCCTTATCGTATTGTATGTGAGAATTGGGGTGACTAAGATGAAGTGAAATGAGATGAAATGGAATGAAACAATTATAATGACATAAACATATTATGTGCATGCCAAATGTGCCCTTGTTCATGAAATATGTATATTCTTCAAAAGACTAACAAATGCATGCCAAAAATCATAGAAAAAGCATAATTGTTTACAAAAATCACCCAATTTGAAAAATTTTAACGTCATTTTAAACTATTTTCTACCATCATATAAAGAACCTAAAAATTTCATGACCTTGTCAACCCAAAAATTAAATTTTACACATCTTTGACCATACCCAATAATTTAGCATGCTTATTTAAGTTAAATCATGCAATATTAAACTTCTAGATCTCACAAGAATTACACAAATAAAATATTCCTAAAATTCATGAAAAA